TTCGATAAACAAAGTATACATTGATGAACAGACGAAACGCTCACTAAGATTTGAAGGACATTACGTGCTCACAATAGCAACACACGCACTTAGGTAAGTTCTGAAGGACATTACGTGCCCATAATAGCAACACACGCACTTAGGTAAGTTCTGAAGGAAATTACGTGTCCATATTAATAGCGACACACGCACTAAGGTAATTTCTGAAGGACATTACGTGCCCATAGTAGCAACACACTCACTTAGGTAAGTTCTGAAGGAAATTACGTGCCCATAATAGCAACACACGCACTAAGGTAAGTTCTGAAGAAGTTTGCGTGCTCATTATAGCGAAATGCTCACTAAGGTAAGTTCTGAAGGAAATTTCGCGCTCAAATTTAGCGAAACGCTCACAAAGGTAAGTTCTGAAGGAAATAACGTGCCCATAGTAGCAACACACTCACTTAGGTAAGTTCTGAAGGAAACTAGTGCTCATATTAGCGAAACGCTCACTAAGATAAGTTATGAAGGACATTATGTGCCCATAATAGAAACACACTCACTAAGGTAAGTTCTGAAGGAAATTTCGTGTCCATATAGTAGCAACACACTCACTAAAGTAAGATCTGAAGGAAACTAGTGCTCATATTAGTGAAACGCTCACTAAGATACATGTAAGTACAGAAAGTTCACTATACGATTTAGATGCAAATAGTTTATGCATATGCATGTAAGAGAAGGATACGGTGCAGGGGAGGTAATCTGCACGTTTGTAATAATTTGTGAACTCTCTTGTATGGGAGGAGCTATTTTATGTTGTTGTTGGGTTTTACCGAGACGGCGAATAAACGAGGATTGTTTCTGTATTCAATGTAAAAAATACTAATAATATTTACATTATTTCATGAACCTGTTCTGTGGTGAACGACACTCTCTAATAGTGTTATTTTAATAAATATATCTGAAACAATCACCTTTAATTAGGTTATAGACGTGTTAACAGTTGCCGCCGCCATCTTGGGTCAGAGGTCAAGTGGTTAAACCTTTTGTAAACAATATGGCGGTGCTCTCACTCGGGGCGATTGAGCGCTGTTGAATCTTGACAGTTTAAGGACGTATTTGCCTATAACAATGTTTATCATTATGGGGAACAGATGCAAACAACTAACCTACCTACTATTCCATCTAAAGACGACATTCTAAATCCTCATCATTTGCAATATCATAATTGTACAAGCGTGACCCCTTAGCCTGGAAGGCCAGAACTATGGATGGCTCGAGAACGAAAATTGCGGAATACATCAATGTATATATTTATATGATCAGACTCACTTATTTTTCTTATTTTATTAAAAGCTTGCCTATCGATACTTACAGCGTTGTTGAACGACTACAACAGATAAAGCCCAAGAGCGAGCAGTTCTACTGCGGATGACAAAACGAGCATTCTGACGACGAGAGATTTTGTTTATATATTGCCCCGGCCGGGGCAGAGGAGGCCGGGTTTTGATGATAGTACTAGGATATGAGGTGTCAACCATATCTAATTGCAAAGTACTGAACCCTTTATTTTTTTTTCAAAATATTTTATTGTCAAAACAAACAAAGCTAATAACAAAAATTAAAGAAGAAATATCACAGCACATTAACAAAGGGATAAGACAACAGGCTAAGCCTTATAATTTTTCTCCTATAGATAACCAGTATCACATTATTTTAATTTCGTTTATAAAATATTTAAGTTATGGGTGGTAGATAGTAGGAAAATAAAGAAAATAATGATTTATTAACTACAATGACTCTCAAACTACCATAAATTTGTAATTGTTATATTTTAAACTGAACCCATTTTATGCAGAAAGATGACTCCCTACAGGCTACTGCTCCTTTACAGCTGGGAGAATCCATGTAACATTGTCATGTCCTAGGACATATATTTAAATTATACACACATTGTGTCACAAATATGTTTTCAGTGAAATGCACTTCTTAATGCAATTATAACTTTAATTGGCTTTGTGTTTCCTGCATTTAACCTGACCACTTAATGTGATAGACTGGTGTGAATGTAAAATATTACAGATGGGCTTTAGTCATAGATTTATCAAATCTTTATATTGATATGATGTTGTAATTTGTAATTTAGCTGGAGACATATTCAAACAAAGTAGAATTTTCCCTATTTGCTTTTATACCAGTAGTACTAAATAAATCTATATCGTTGTCTTATCATGTCATTTTCACATTTGATTTTCTTTCGAAAAAAAATATATTTAGATAATTCAACTTAACTTCAATACTTGCTCTGAAGGGAACTTGATGGTCCTCCATTTGTTATGTGTGCGAATTTGAAATTTACTTGTTGCAGCTTAATTCACAGGTCAGTTAGAAGACAATCAGCAAAGGAAAATCCTTTGATTGCAGCAGTTCACACTTGGTCTACCTCTTTGATGGGTAATGTAAATCATTATGCCAAAAGTATCAGCAACTTTCCAAGCGTTACACCATATATCACACAATCAAAGAGATTTATATGATATTATATCTGGCAAGGTTTTTATTTAATGGAATTTCATTCCGTACAAGATCTGGGAGTTATTCTCAGAAATAATATTTCACTGCAATTATTGTGTATGGCAAAGAACAATACGGCATTGTTAACTAAATTAATCTGAATAACTTGTCATACCTCAAAATAAAAACAAGTCAATACATACATGTATGTAGGAAAATAGGTTAAGATGATTATTTAGAAACATACAATTATTTTTCAGTATTTGATTTTGTTTCAATGGTGATATAACTAACCCCAGAAACATCTAATGGTAAAGATAACATTAAATATATGAAACTTAGAAAAAATATGGGTAAACTGCATTGGTGGAAATGCTTTATAAAGTGCACTGTCCTAGACTAGAAGTGTAATTATACATTACACATAATTATGACTATACATTTTATTCCAACTTTGCTTTAGCAGTGCATAAATGCTCAAATTAAATTGCTTTTCACATTCAAGGTAGATGCCATTAACAATGTTCATAGAACAGTGGCAGCTTCCATGTGGTGTCACTTCATTATTTCATTTGTATTTCACACAAATAATATTAATCACAAATCAAGATGTGGGTGAAAGATAAATTCACCAATGGCTGTCCTGAGAAAAAAAGGAATTTTCTTCATTTAGGACAAATTGTCTATTAAATCCAGCTTTTTAAAGGCATTCTTTTGTAATTGTTTATTTTTCAGAGATTTTACATAATATATAAACATGTCATTAACAGTACATATTCACATGCGCATACACACATGCTAGTTTTTTTTATACGACCGTCAAATTTGACGGAAGTATTATGGTATTGCGTTGTCCGTCCGTCCGTCCGTCTGGCGTAAACTTTGTTTGTCCGGAGATCTCCTCCTACATTTTTCGACCGATCTCTTTGAAACTTGGTATAAATTATAATCATGATATGAAATTGTGTCTCCCTTAAAAGAATTTATCGACAATTGTTCCAAAAGTTATTGCCCTTTGTTCATTTCAGTATTTTATTTTTGCCGGCAGTCTCCTCCAACATTTTTCAACGGATCACTTTGAAACTTGGTATACTTTATAATCATGATATGAAGTTGTGTCTCCCTTAAAAGAATTTTGATTCGACGATTTTTGCAAAATTTATTGCCTTTTGTTCATTTCAGTATTTGATTTTTTGTCTGAAGATTTTCTCCTATTTTTTTTTATAGCATATCAGCTAACCACTCTTATAATGATGCAGATCTTATTTCAATGTAAGAAAGTATATAACACTTTATGGCATTCGACGGGCGTATTTTGTTCCACCCCGCGGTACTCTTGTTCACTTTGGCATCATCATCATCTCCTAAAGACCAGAAATTCGTTTGTGGCTAATGTACTGTCCCATAGTATTAACCGTAATGTTTATGTTTCCATAATTTAGAAATCTGTGCTGTTACACAATAAGCGTGCTATATTTGTATTTCATCACCTGAGAGCACCAGCGACAACGGTTTTGCGGTGTATATCATCAGGCCTCAACACAAGACGAGAAAGGAGAAAGGAGCAAGGAGCATGAAGCAACAATAACAAGTCATTTGTTTAATCTCGACAGATGACAGTTTAAGATGAGTGGCTGAAATAAGCATTCATGTCCCAGTTTGTATGAATTGATAGAACCAGGTAATGTTGTCGAGTATATGCTAATAGACTTGAAGTAAGTGTAATATGATTGGCTTCAATCATTGCAGTGTAAGATGGTTGGCTTCCAATATTAAAGTGTTGTGTATGATGATTGGCTTCAATCCTTTAAGTGTATGATGGTTGGCTTCAATAATCGTAAATGTGTAGTAAGTCAGATATTTTAAATTCGCAATGAGAAATTCGGAACCTAAAAGTCTATCCGACAAGAGAAATACAAGAACTTCGGAGACTCAAAAATAAAGGGAAAAACTTTATGAACGCCGGCAAATATCGAATTCAAAATGTTATTCTCGAAAAATTAACGTTTTCTGCACCATAAATAGTATCACCAGAAATGATAAATCCAGTCAATTCAGGATTTTAACACAGTTTGTTTTTTTCTACGTGGGGCAGTCGCCAGGTACTGGCTGCAGGTCGATGGTTTTCTCCGGAAACGCCGACTTTCCTCCACCACCAAAATCTGGCACGTCCTTAAACAACCATGGCTGTTATTAGGACGTAAAACACAACAAGCAAACAAACGAACGTTTTTATTCGTCACGTTCGATCGGTCAATCATCGAATATACAGAAGGACTTATATTACCCCGGATCTGCATAGGAGAGATAAACTTAAAACTAACGTCTGGGATCCAGCGACCAATGCAGCACATTGCAGATTTAGTATGTTTCAATCAGTGACGTGTTTAATGGTATTAACATTATTTAATTAAAGAATTTTCTTGTTTAATGATATAAACATTATCTAATTACAGAATTTTCTTGTTTAATGATATAAACATTATTTAATTACAGAATTTTCGAAGATGTCACAGCATACTAAAACCATGCTGCTGTTAATGCTGGTTACAATGATCTGTTGCGGGACAGCTTTTATACTCATGAAGGTCACCATGGGCACAACAGAGGCGTTCCAGGTACGTGTAATAATACAGGTCTAGGTAAGTGTTCTAATACAGGTCCTGGTACGTGTAATAATACTGGTCCAGGTATGTGTAATAATACTGGTCCAGGTATGTGTAATAATACTGGTCCAGGTATGTGTAATAATACTGGTCTAGGTACGTGTAATAATACTGGTCTAGGCACGTGTAATAATACTGGTCCAGGTATGTGTAATAATACTGGTCCAGGTATGTGAAATACTGCTGTTCAATGCACGTGTAATGATACTTGCCAAGCTACGTGTAATACAACCGGTCCAGGTACGTGTTATACATTAATACTGGTCCAGGAATGTGTAATAATACTGGTCCAGGAACGTGTAATAATACTGGTACAGGTATGTGTAATAATACTGGTCAAGGTACGTGTTATAATACTGGTCCAGGTATGTGTAATAATACTGGTCCAGGTACGTGTTATAATACTGGTCCAGGTACGTGTAATAATACTGGTCCAGGTATGTGTAATAATACTGGTCCAGGTACGTGTAATAATACTGGTCCAGGTATGTGTAATAGTACTGGTCCAGGTACGTGTAATAATACTGGTCCAGGTACGTATTATACATTAATACTGGTCCAGGTATGTGTACTAATACTGGTCTAGGTATGCGTAATAATAATGGGCCAGGCACGTGTAATAATACTGGTCTAGGTTCGTGTAATAATAATGGTCCAGGTACGTGTTATACATTAATACTGGTCCAAGTATGTGTACTAATACTGGTCTAGGTATGTGTAATAACAATGGTACAGGCACGTGTAATACTACTTGTCTTGGTTCGTGTAATAATCCTGTTCCAGGTACGTGTAATGGTAATGGCCAAGGTATGTGTAATACTACTGGTCTAGGTACGTGTAATAATACTGATCCAGGTACGTGTACTAATTCTGGTCCAGGTTTATCTAATTATACTGGTCCAAGTTCGTGTAAGACTACTGTTCCAGGTACGTGTAATATTTCTTTTTAAGGTTCGTGTAATAAGTCTGGTCCAGGTAACGTGTAATAATACTTGTCCAGGTACGTGTAATAATACTGGTCCAGGTAACATGTAATAATACTTGTCCAGGTACGTGTAATAATACTGGTCCAGGTAACATGTAATAATACTTGTCCAGGTACGTGTAATAATACTGGTCCAGGTAACATGTAATAATACTTGTCCAGGTACGTGTAATAATACTGGTCCAGGTACGTGTAATAATACTGGTCCAGGTACGTGTTATACATTAATACTGGTCCAGGTATGTGTACTAATACTGGTCTAGGTATGTGTAATAACAATGGTCCAGGCACGTGTAATACTACTTGTCTAGGTTCGTGTAATAATACTGTTCCAGGTACGTGTAATGGTAATGGCCAAGGTATGTGTAATACTACTGGTCTAGGTACGTGTAATAATACTAGTCCAGGTAACGTGTAATAATACTGGTCCAGGTAACGTGTAATAATACTGGTCCAGGTAACGTGTAATAATACTGGTCCAGGTAACGTGTAATAATACTAGTCCAGGTAACGTGTAGTAATACTAGTCCAGGTACGTGTAATAATACTAGTCTAGGTTCGTGTAATAGTAGTGTTATGGTCTTAAAACACGGAGCAGGATTGCAGACAAAAAATCATTTAGTCTGCATGCCTGCTCCGTGTTTTAGGACCAAAACAAGGAACATAATGCTGTTATTGCTTAAATGAACTTATTATAGCTCTTTTTACTAGAACATTTACCACTCCTACTGACAATGGTAGAAATTTTTACAAATGAAATGGATTTTTCGCAGTTCAATGTGGAGCAACAAAACCGGCAGTGTGGGACCACCCTCTTTCATTTTCAACAAGTCCACCCACAACTACAACACGTACATCTACAGCTACAACAAGTCCATCTACAACTACAACAAGTCCACCTACAGCTACAACAAGTCCATCTACAACTACAACAAGTCCAACTACAACTACAACAAGTCCATCTACAACTACAACAAGTCCACCTATAACTACAACAAGTCCACCTACAACTACAACAAGTCCACCTACAACTACAACAAGACCACCTACAACTACAACAAGTCCACCTACAACTACAACAAGCCTACCTACAGCTACAACAAGTACATCTTCAGAAACAACAAGTCCATCTACAACTACAACAAGTCCACCTACAACTACAATAAGTCCACCCACAGCTACAACAAGTCCACCTACACCTACAACAAGTCCACCTACAACTACAACAAGTCCACCTACAACTACAACAAGTCCACCCACAGCTACAACAAGTCCACCTACAGCTACAACAAGTCCACCTACAACTACAACAAGTCTACCTACAGCTACAACAAGTACATCTTCAGAAACAACAAGTACATCTACAGCTAAAACAAGTACATCTTCAGAAACAACAAGTCCATCTACAACTACAACAAGTCCACCTACAACTACAACAAGTCCACCTACAACTACAACAAGTCCACCTACAGCTACAACAAGTCCACCTACAACTACAACAAGTCCACCTACAACTACAACAAGTCCACCTACAACTACAACAAGTCCACCTACAACTACAACAAGTCCACCTACAACTACAACAAGTCCATCTACAACTACAACAAGTACATCTTCAGAAACAACACCTCCATAAATGTACACTAAGGAAAAAGCATTACCAGATACAGAAACGACAGTAAAAATGCATACTTTTACTTTTTCAAAATACTTTTGATACTTTTGAAATAACATTTTACTTAAAACTGTGTATTTCACTTTTAACTTTTCGCTGTATTACCTTTGTTTTACATATAAAATGAAAAATTCCACTACGGTATATTTGTTTTTCTAGTGGTCTTCGTTGTATGTTTCTTGTTTCTGTATTACATTTCACATTCGCGTTTTATTTCCTTAAATAAACGGAACCTGCATTGTTTATTTGTTTTTTGTTGTGACATAAAATATCCCCCGTTTATTTATTTTCCTGAATCCCATTGTTTGTCATTAAGCTTCTTTGTTTACCTTTGTTTCTGTTTGATATGAAACCTACCCTGTTTTTCTTCTGATCGTTTCTCTGTGTATTTTCCAAGTCTTTGTGGTTAAAGTGAAATGTCAATATACTGAGTACATAGAATGTATATAAAGTACGAGAACATCGCGAAAAAGAATCAGATTAAAGCATGCAACATTTACACTATTTATTTGTGAAAACAAATAATTCAGATATAGCTGATCATTCGTAAGATTTTTGTTATCAAACTAGTGAAAAAAATATATGTTTTGGAGAAATTTCACAAGCATGTTGCCTGCGATTAGAGTGAGATTCTTTTTGATATCAGCTATTATTAATATATAGTCAATATAATAATAGACTTTGAACAGCCATTTGGTCAGGGTACATGTAGAACGGATAATGAAGTACGAAATATGAAATAGATCCAAATTTCTCAACACAATTACAAAAAGTGACCAGCTGTGATATTAATAATCCGTAGTGACTATAGGCTTCTGTCAGCAGGTCAAGAACAATAAATAACAACGAGAGACAACAATATGCTTTTGTATATTGCTTACGTCACGCTACCACAATTGGTACAAATTTGACAGATTTTCATTGATATTTAAAAATCCCGATTATTTAACTGCAATTTGTCTTGATTCTTGACAAAGGCTACACATGGTGGTTCATTATCAGCAAATGTTTGGTTCTAAGCGATTTGTTTTTGAAAAAAGAACGCTGAACTCAGAGTTAGAATCCTCCGTTTTTCAGCCATGATAAGTACAATGCACCCAACTTGGTACACCATATCACAGGCTATAAATGTTGTTTAAAATCTCTACTAGTCGATGTGCAGATTGCAACAAAATGTATTGCTTTTAAAAAATACCTGGCTGAGCTACAATTAGAAAAAAACACTTTTATAATATCCGGTTATGAGGACCAGAAATCAACATTAAACATTCTTATAATTAACCCCTCAAAAATATCGCCGACGTACGTCGTTTTTTCTGGGTTTTTTTCTGACATGTTTACTTTGAAGTCATCGTGTACTCCTAACATGTCGCTGAAAACAAGACTATATGGTGGAAATGCTGATAAATATCTCTTATGTTATACCGACAGAGATGCTTACACATAAAGATGTTTTAAGTATTACAAGTTTACCAACAATTTTATGACCATGTACCACTTGGGGTAGGTTGACGTTAACACGTGACAAGCAACATCGTGACCATCGATTCCTTGATGACGTCAGATCCAGACAATTATACAAGTACAATCCTTTAAAACCCAGTGATATTTTCGACATTACGATTATGACAGAAAAAAAAATGTTAATTAAGAAATTCTCAGGTTTCGAATTTTAACTACATCTACAAATGTACAAGGGAAGCAACTCGAACAAAATACCGCTTATGATTTATAATGAGCACTTACAGCTAGCATGCCGCTTTTATTATAACTTGCCCTTCACCCTAAATCTACTACGTGACACAAAGGCATATGATAAAAATACTTGGAAATTTATGATCACATTAAACTTTATTTGTATTTATGCCCAATTCAAAGTAAATATCACCTCGACAAATTTGCTAGAGTTTACAAAAAACAAGAACATAAATCACATATAAATCAAAACTTGTCTTTTTATTTAAACGACGTCTTTACTATTGAAAACTTTACATGTATCGTAGGTTTTTGTTAAGACTTGTTTGGTAGGTTTCTGTTAAAATTTGTGTGGTAGGTTTCTGTTAAGACTAGTGTGGTAGGTTTCTGTCAAGGCTGAACTGTTTTCCTGACCCATGAAGCACGACTTCGTTCTCTGAAACAGAAACAATAGAAGGTTAAATTAAACATAATGTTTTATTTTATTTGCATAATAGCGTTTTGAATTTGACAATTTGTATCATAATCACGTGACAAGGAATTCAAACAAAAATCAGCAATAAACCTCACGCTTTTTACCCTTCCTGGAATTTTTTTGGCCTTGTTTTTTTTATTTTGGGGGTGAGGGTGGGTGGAGGGGGGG